AAGAGTTAGCTTCGTGCTCCGTACCGCATTCGTTCCCTTCGGAAGGTGCATTGCGCTTCCAGCGTATGATAGTTGCTATGAAACTTTATTACCCCAAAGGCTAGGGTCTGGATCCTAAATGGCTAGTAAAGTTTTGAATTTCGGGACGGAGGCGCGGCGCTTACGGGACGATCCTCCTTACAGGACTCTTAATTACGGGGCGGAGGTGCTTATTGATCTTATTGGACGGGCCTGGTGAGGAGCCTTCTTACGGGCCTCTTAATTGCGGGACGGAGGCACTTACGGGACACACATTTTTTTTTTGCAGGACGGACTCTTAATTACGGGACGGAGGCTCCTTACGAGACTCTTAATTACGGAACGGAGCGCTTACGGGACGAGTCTGCTTACCGGAGCCTCCTTACGGCCTCCCTTACGGGACGAGCCTCCTCGCGGGACGTTTATACTTGAGGACGGAGGCGCTTACGGGACGAGTCGGTCCTTACGGGCTCGCAGCTTCGTCGTCCTCCTCCGTGAAGTAGACGGAGTCCCCCCACCAGAGCCTTCCCACCAGAGCCTCCCCACCACAGCGGGCCTGTCTACCAGAGCCTCCCCACCAGGGTCCCTCCCGAGCTTCTCCCTTAGGCGACCTTCCAAAGGGTGATTCATCCTCTAAACTTGCCTGCGTGTCAGCGTGGATTTCACGCCAATGCTTGACAGAAGTTCAACTCAGTGTTTCTTGGTGTGGCAGTTTGGTTCAAGTTACCGCTCCTCGCCATGGCAATGTCCGACCTCCGACTCTGGGATCCAAGCAACTGTCATGTTCCGGATGGCGCCCTGCTGCCCGGTCTGCGGCTTCCGCCAGCTTTCCGTGCTGATCTGGTGACCTTGCAGGAGCACTGCTGGGAAGAGCCTCTGACCGTGCCACCGGATGGCCTTTGCCTGCACTGTACTGTTACCTTGCGGCGCTCGATCCAAAAGGTTTGCAAATTGTTGAACGGGACGCTATGGGGTTCATCGTGGACCAGCCGCAGGAGATTATCTGGAAGGGGCAAGCTGCAGAGCTGCTGCAGCAAGTGCTGGCTTGCATGCGCAAGTCCGGAGCCACAGCTGGGAAAAGCCGCTGGAGCTGACTCTAAGCGACCAGGAAGACGCCAGTGTCGGCGCTGCCGATGGCTCTCCATTCCAAGCCTGGCCTGCCAAAGATTCGCGTTCCTTCAGTGCCGAACTCAATGATATGCATGTTGTTGACCGTCGACGACGACAAGAATCGCTTCTCCTTAGCCGCACCCATCGCAGCTTTGGACAACGTTCCGGAAGAGGTTCTGGAGATTGGCGGCCTGCTTCAAGTGCGCAACAACTTGAAGAGCATGGTCCGTCTACCACGCCGTGACAAGCTGCTGGCCATCTTGGATTACATGCAAGACCTAGCGGCGAAAGCAAGCAGCGTGCACTCTCTCAGTGTTCAGGCGACCGCAACGGAGGTCGCCGAGCCGGCCGAGGAAGCATCCCTGGACTGTGACGACGACACTCAGTCAAATGCAACGGAGGTCGCCGAGCCGGTTCTCTTGGACTGTGGAGCAACAGCCTCTGCGGGTCCAGAGGCCAGTGTTCAGAGGCTCATTGCATCCGCCATTGAGCAGGACCAGGGAGCCACGATCACTGTCGATCAGTCCCGTCGCCCGTATTTCAGGTATGGCTCTGGGGCTTGGGGTCGTGCGCTTTATCATGTGACCATCTCCCCCAAGGTTAGTGGCTATGAGAAGCAGTTTGGGGTATATGCGTTGCCGAATCCACCGGAGTTTGTTGAGCCTTGGTTCCGTCCACACATGTTGGTCCCCATCCTGGTAGGCATGAGTCACATTGGACCCGAGATGTTTCTGTCCCCTCTGCCGCGACCTATGGGGAAGGATGACGCGATGCAAATTTTGTTTGGGTACCAACAGGAAGCACGGCCTCACGAAGGAGGCATCCTACTTCCAGCGGCACTGCTGACTGGGCTTGGTATCCAACATTATTGCGGCACATTGCACATGGCGCTGAGCCGATGGAAGCCAAACGCCGCGTGGACATGGAGCGGCGTGTCCAAGAAGGCCGTGCCAAGACAGCGGCCAAGCTTGAAAAAAAAACGCCGACAGAGACAGGAAGAGGAGGAGCAGATTCTCTTTGATCAGCGTTTGGCGGAGGCTCTGCAAAAGGCAGAGCAGGAGGTCACGGAGGAATGGGAAAAGGAACATGGGAAAGCAACTTCGCGCGTCGAGGACTGGATTTTTTCTATTCCGTATCCCGTATTCCAGTCAAGTATAGGAAATTGTCCCTGCTCGCAGGATCAAGGACGACGATCCTGGACTATTCCGCGGATTTCCATGACGACGAAGCATAGATGAAGCGTGCCCATACTGGCAGCCTTTTTCGGCTCGTGAGTTTTTAAAATCTAGAATGTGCTGCAATACAAGTTCACCTGGATTTTCTGCGTCGTCATCAGACGGCAAGCGGTTTCTGCGTCGCTTCAGCTATAAGCACAAGGCCTGGACAAGTCACGGCAAGCCGACGAGGTTTGCCCTCGCCTCCGTCTTCAAGCGGCGACTTTTTTTCTGCCTGCGAAGCCACAGAAATTCTCAGCGACACCGTGTCTATACCTCGCCGCGTGGCTGCGGTTGCAAGACCTCCACATTATCTGCCCAAAAAATGCTTTCTCGTGCAAATCACAGAAGACGTTGCGAGATTGAACTTGCGGCTCTACGGTGACCTGAAATGAGGCCTGCCGAACTCCAACTTGATTTATGGATAAATTTTTATCAAAACCCTACACCCTAACAGATTCGATGTCTGGGTGGTCTTGGGGTGGGATGTCGCGTCCAGCTCGGCGCGCCGCCCCGCGACCTTCTGGGTCGAGGCACGCCGCTTACGATGAGAAGCCCTAAACCCTAAACCCCAATCCATGAAGCGGAAACCTTAAGTTTATGACTAAGCCAAAAAGATTCGCGGTTTAGTAGGGTTTAGGGTTTAGGGAATGGCCGAGGGTTGAAGGTTGAACCCTCCAATATAGAGGTCGGAACCAATGCTACCTACTACCAGTAGCTCCTTATGGCGCCAATACAGATGTGCATATAAGACCGCTTCAAGTCGACTTTCCAGACCCCAAACCCCAAGTATGGTAGGTGCTCCCATGCATCGGCGAGCTGATCGGCGAGGTGGTGGGCGCGGCCCTGTGCTGCCTGTGCCCGGGCCAAGGATTTCACAGTGATTTCGGGAAAGTAGAGGCAGAATAATTACCAATGTTATTCCTTGTGTTTAGAGTTTAGGAGTTTAGGGTTGAGGGCTTATAGAGCGTGGAATAATTACCAATAGTATTCCTGGGATTCTTGATGTTAATTACACTATAATGTACACCAAAGCTGTTAGGAAGTGCCTTATAGTAGGACTCAGAAGGATCCCTAAACCCTAAACCTAGGATTCAAAAGGATCCGGCAAGGATCCTGTGATTAAGAAGTCGGGATTGCAGTTCAGGTTGACGGAATCGTAGGCTCGAAGTGGCTCGTAGTGCCGAAGCAGCAAGGCTGCTTTTTGAGGGGTTTCAAAGCATGAGTATTCAGCAGGGCGGCTTGAGTTTTTCTTTGAGGTTGTGGGTTGGGGTTTGGGCTTCTTGGACATTTGGGGTTCGTAGAGATTCGGGTCTAAGCTTTAAAAGTCGATTCAGAGCTTAGGTGTCCGTCTATTGGCTTCGGAAGGAGTAGGGGCGTACCCCGATTGAAGGCCAAAAGAGCACATCCAGAACCCTATGCACCTTTTTCTGGTCATGCACATTTCCTCGTAGAGTTCTCGTGAAGACCTTCCTGAATTACTGTAAACCCCGCGTACAGGCCTTTCAGAAGCCGTGCAAAACCCTTTCGAAGGGATTCCCCTGACCAACTCGGGCTAAACCCCGAAACCCAAACCCTGAACCCTTACCCTAAACCCTAAACTCCAAACCCTGAAGCTTAAACCCCCAAACCTTAAAGCCTCAACCCCAGCCCCTTAACCCCAAAGCCTGGGCTGAGGAACTTTATGATCTCGCTCGCCCTCTCCTTCACAGCTCCTCACCTGGTCAACAGGAAATGAGATCCAGACCGCTATTACGTTACAACTTAGGGTTTAGGGTTTAGGTAGTCTAGTGACTAGTGCTTGCTTGGAGGTTCAGGGGGAGTTATAAGTGGGGTTAGAAGTGGGCTAACCACAGTTCTAACCTGTAAAAGGGACTGGTAGCTCCATTTATCAGTGCCCATGAAGCTCCAAGCGGTGTTTGCGAACCCCCAGCGCCTGAGCCTCAGTGCTCTTTCTCAGGGTCTTGCAAACAGAAATACAACGACAACCGTAAAGCCCTAAACCCTAAGCCCTTGACCCTAAACCCTTAAGACGATTGTTAAACCTTAATGGGGGACTAGGGTCTTGGGCCCTGTCTATTTTCTTGAAATCATCACCCCTGAGTTTGGGCGTGCTTTGCGGCAGGACCGGTGAGTGAAGGTCCGTAGGAAATCCTAGGCCAGAAAACCCTAAACCCTAAACTCTAAGCCCAAAGCCCTTAACCCTAAACCTAAGCCCTAAACCCTAAGCCCTAAACCCTAAACCGTAAGCCCTAAACCCTAAACCCTAAACTCTAAATGGGGGGCCTTTTTGCCCGAACCCTGGACCCGAAAGGCCCCTAAAACATAAACCTGCAACTCGGAGCCTTAACCCAGCACCTCAAGGTCTCGAGACTCATGACCCTACTTGGAGGTTCATGGGTAGTTATGAGTATGGTTATAAGTCCTCTAATGTGGGTTATAAAGAAAAGTTACCCTACTTATAACCCCATTTATAACTACCCATGAACCTCCAAGTAGACCAGAGAAACATAAACCCCAAGCCTTATAAATTGAACCATCTTGAACTCTTATAGTTAGTATCCTTCTAGAAGAGCTATATAAATCCTTATAGATCCCTTTAAGGAACCCTAAGCCCTAAAAGGGAGCCGAGTTTCGAGAACTACCCATATAATCTGACCTGTTGACCTCAAGACCTCAAATGCCCCCAAACCCTAAACCCAAAGGGCCCTAGACGGTTTTGGGTTTACGGGTTTAGGGGCTTAGGGGCTTAGGGGCTTAGGGCTTTGGGTTTAGCGGTTAGGGTTTAGGGTTTAGGGGTTTAGGGGTTTGGGGGTTTGGGGTTTGGGGTTTAGGGGACCACAAAGACCAAACATCTCTAGACCTGTATATCTATAGCAATGCGAGAGGATGCCCATCACAGCTTTGCGCAAGCGTTTATATAACGCCGTCTGCTGGCCCCATCAACACTTCATACAAGCTGCTGTTAAGCCCTCCTTCTAACCCGGTTATTTAACCCTAAGCACTACGCCCTAAACCCTAAACTCTAAACCCTAAACCCTGAACCCTAAACCCTAAACCCTAAGCCCTAAACCCTAAACTCTAAACCGCTAAGCCCTACAGAACTCTGGCTTCCGGGCGTTCCATGCTTTCGAGCTCTCTGTCAGAGTTCAAAATTACAAGCTTCAGGTTTTAGAGATTTAGTGTCAGAGTTCAAAATTACAACCTTCAGGTTTTCGAGATTTAGGGTTGAAGGTGCAAGGTTTTGGCAGGTTTTAGGCCGAAGCTTGAACCAACGCAGCCTGAACTCAATCGAAAGCTCTACACCCCCAAACTTTGAATAGACCATAAATCCTTAGGCGGAAAGCCCGGATAAGCCATTAATATCTTTGTTGAAAACCCTTGTAAATCCTAATACAACCCCTAAACCCTAAACCCTAAACCCTAAACCCCTAGGTGATTGGGGCAGCCTGGCTGATGGCACGGCCAATCTTCGGGATCGTGCTGCTTTTGGCTCGGGCGGCCCAGTGGATGTTGGGTTCTTTGCCTGGTGCTTTGTTTGTTGCAGGGTTTAGGGTTTAGGGTTTAGGGTTTAGTGTGTGTGTGTGTGTGTGTGTTTTAGAGCAGCTGTTGCTCAGGGCTTCGCTGTTGTTACGAGGTCGTTCGAGGGATTTTTGCACGCCAGACTTTTTCAACCGGGTCTTGCAATGATTTGCGGTCCTAGTCGTATCGGGCTTGGAGGTTTGATTGGGCTTGGCTGGGGTCTGCAGAGTCTTACTTTGGCTTCTTTGCTGCGGCTTTCTTCTTGCAAGGGCTTGCTGCCATTACCAGTTTAGGACATGAGGGTGTACATGAGGATTTAGGTTTCAACCCACAGTACCATTGTTTCGTGCTCAGAGGCGTATGAGCGGAAACGCAGGAAGTGGCGGGCAGCACAGCTCGCACGAGCACTGCAACGCCAGTGGGCTGCTGGCTGGCGGGCCATATATGGGTAGTTTTCTAAATTAGGGTCCCTTTTAGGGTCCCTTTTTGGGTCCTTTTTATAAGGGTGCCGTACTATTTTGGGGACCTAAAAAGGGACCCGAATTTAGAGAACTACCCATCTACAAGGACATGTACCGAAGCTTTCAGAGAGCAAGATCAGCTGCTGAGCCCCAAACGGCCCTGCGACGCCTAGCTGGGTACAGACTGGTCCTTCCTCGGCCATTCTGGCCCCCGACGTGCAGGTAGGCTTTTGGTGTTACAGTCATGACCCTGGCTGCAACGAATATAGAAGCCTAAAGAATCACCAGTATTCTTCCTTGGGGCTCCTTATTTTAATTAGAGTATACTATACCGCAAAACCCTATTCTAAATACTAAGGCCCCTACATTGCAGTCATAACACTGGCTGCAACTATGTTAGCCGTGTTGTTGGAGCGAGCCGAGCCAACTGGCCGCGGCACTTCGCGCCAGGAAAATGCATGCCTGCTCCAGAAGCAAGCTGGAGCGGTTCAGCGTTTCGGGTTTAGGGACCTACCTGTAGCTATAGGTACCCTGATATGGGTTATACCCTTAATTAAGGAATAGCGTTTAAATGATATCATGATTTAAAGTATATTCTGTAATTCAAGGGTATTGGGCTCTCTGGGAGCTGGACCTACTTGTTGTTATAAGTATGGTTATAAGTCCGCTAACATGGGTTATAGCTCCACGTATCACTACCCGTGAACCTCCAAGTAGGTGCCCAACCACCCACACTAAACCCGGAACCCCAAACCCTAAACCCGAAACCCGAAACCCCAAACCCTAAAACCCAGTGAGCAGAGCTGCTAAACCAGAATCGGATGCAGGCCACCATGAACGCAGGCTTCGGCTATCCGGACTCTATCACGGCG